AAATAGAGTAATATGCTGTATGAACTTATAGCCCTACGCTTAGAGCCTTTACCCGAATCGGGTGAAGACGGTGAAGTACCGATATCGATTAGCGCTATTCGAATTACGGTATTAACGAGAGCGTAGTCGTTACGAAAACCGCATCTAAGGAATAGTGAATGGAACACTATTTTTAGCTTAATATCTTCTACTGGCGAAGTAGAGCTAGAGTAGAAGAGCGATGAGTTAAATAAACTCATCGAGGACGGTCGCCTAGTAAATGTAAGCTAGGCGACCCCTAAAAGAGAAAGAGCGCCGACTTTCTCACCCGAATTAGATGGGAGAGTAAATCTGGAAGCTTAGATTCGGGAGGCGCAGAGTCTTGATCGGTTCGTGAACGCACGAATATGGATAATCTCCGTAGATGGAGGGCATTGAACACTAGATTAAGCGGGAATAGTTCGACGAAATGAACTTATTTATATTCCTAATAATTCAACGATTAAGGCTGAGATCCTAAGGGTTAATCATAATAATTCTTAGGACGAGGATTACTTTAGGCGAGCTAGAACGCTCGAAGTTATTCAGCGTTGTTACTAGTGGCCTAGAGTAAAGAGGGACGTTTATAAGTATATAGATACTTATAATGTATACTAAAGGATGAAGATTCTAAGATATAAGCCTTATAGAGAGCTAATCCCTCTAGCTCCGCCGATGAAGCTCTAGTAAGGTATTACTATAAACTTCATCGTAGGGCTACCACCGTCTAAGCATCGGAATAGCGTCTACGACGCGGTGCTAGTAGTAGTAGATAGGCACTTAAAAATAGTGCGTCTCATTTTATATAAGTAAGACATAACGACTTAGAAATTAGGAACGATCTTAATTAATGAAGTCTTCTCGAGATATAGAATATCTAAAATAATTATAAGTAATAGAGACTCCCTATTTACGTCGAAGTATTAGAAGACGATGTACTATTATCTTACGATTAAGAGAAAGCTATTAACCGCTTTTCATCTATAGATAGACGGATAAATAGAGCGGCTAAATTAAGTGCTTAAATACTACTTAAGATACTATCTAAATAATGAATAAAGTAACTAGGCTAAACTGCTTAGTAGTGTAGAATGGGCTATTAATAATAGCCGGAATAGTACGATTAATGCTATACCGTTCTAAATAGTGTATAACTATAAACTCAGTATAAAAAGAAATCTTAAAGATTCTTATCCACCCGAATTAGGTGGAAAGGAACCGCTCTCAATTCATAAGAGAGTAAGATAAAATGCTGAGGAGGTTTTAGCTATACGAGCTTACTTACGAGAATTCTAGTAAAGAACGTAAGAAAAGATTAAGAGCTACTATAATTAGTATCGTAAGAATATAGAATTTATAGCGGGCGATCTAGTTATACTCTTAACGAAAAATATTAAGTTACGTAAAGCTAGTAAGAAACTCTCTAATAAGTATATAGAGCCTTTCTACGTTAAATAATAAATAGATAAAAATATCTATTAACTTACTCTATCTAAGCGTTATGAACGAATTCATTTAATATTTTACGTTTCACTTCTTTAGGCTTATCATTAACGCTAAGAAACTCTTCTTTCTTTATCTATTAATGTAGATAAAGAGGAAGAGTTCGATGTAGAATAGATTCTAGACGTCTAAGGAAAGAGAGTAAGACGACGTTAATTAGTTAAATAGCTAGGGTAGGGCTATGAACATAATATATAGGAATCTAGGAAATACTTCACCGGTGCCCTTATACGAAAAATAATTAGAGAGTTCGACGAAAAGTACGGCGTACGTACTTAATAAGAAATATCTCTTATCTAAATTAAGTAGGGGTATACTTAGTTTTATTATAAAGGGCTACTTATAATCTACGTTACGTGAAGGCGATACCCTTATAGATCGTTTTAGAGGTTCCGACCTATCTCTAAGAATAAGTATTGCTCTACTATTTATATATATTCTATATTTTAGGGAGGTCCCGACCTATCTCCTAAGGATAATGTTACCCTACTATTTACTTATATTCTATATAGCCCTAATATTAGTACTATAAACGAGAAGAACGACGTCGTCTAAAGACATCGTTATCTTAGCGGCTATAGGCCTAGAGACGTTCTTAATTTATATATTCGATCTATATTTTAGGGCCGCGAAGAGTAGCTAACTATACGTTCGGCACTCTCTAGCGAGCGCGGACGACGGTAGCGAAAGAGGAGAAAGAGATAATAACCTTCTTTAAGACCGGCGAAGCCGGAGGAGAGGAGAGAGAAGAGGAGAAGTCACTAAAATAATTAGTACTTTAGTCTATTTCACTATTAGTGATTTCTTACTTGAATCGGGTGGGAAGAATAAGTATATCGAAATCTAAGCTGAAATTCTCCTTATCGTCATTAACGAAGATAGAAGGGGCCGGGAGAGAGGGAGCCACTATTCTAATTAGTATTATTTCTTCATCTCTTAATATTACTAATAAAAGGTGAAAACGTTTATTAGGACGTCTAGTAAATGCTAAACCTCTCTAAGATCGAAGAGGTCGGCATCGCCGCTAACCTTATAAATACGGTTAGCTTTTCGAAACATAGGCTTAAGTCCCTGTGCTTAGGACTTAAGTTATTCTCTAAAATAGATATTAGTAATTCATCACCCGAATCGGGTGAGAAATATCTATATCTAATCGGCTAAAATAGCCGAATTACTGCTAGCAACGGAAATTACTCTCTCGATGAGAGCTTAGAGGGCACGATAATCTATCTATAGATTAACGGGGATCTAATCCATTCAGCATATCATTAACTTTGGCTAAATTCTTACTTACGGCAACGTAGCCAGCGTTAGGCCAGGAACGAGAGTAAAATCTACACGACTTAGACTAAGTCTAGTCGTAGAGTAAGGTAGAAAAAACTGGCTCCGAGCTAGGAGTAGACGGAGAATTCGTAAAACCGCGGAAAGCGCTTCTTTCGTTAGTACGCTATCATTATTCTAATATTATAGAACTCATAATTCTTATTAATAAGGCTAGCACCATAGTCTAACTAGGACTAAGTATCTAGCCGGACTTCCTCGTACGTAAGAGGCTATATATATATCAGTAGCGTCTCTCACCCGAGTAAGGTAGGTAATACTTATACATCTTATGGTTGATCTAAACGAGGAAGAAAGAGACGAAGAAGACCATAGTAAAGGGCTTAAGAACCAAAGCAAAGGCTGAAGTGAATTAAATCTCACCCGCATTACTATAACAATATAAAACGGCTGTCTCATCTAAATCGAGTGAGAATTTAATCACTTACTATTGTTAGTAAATGGCTATTTAACTACCATATCATTATCTTCGTCATTAATAATTAAGACGGCCTATTCATACGATGAATCAAGGCTATCTTCATACTCGCAGCGACTCGAGGGCGAGCCGCTTTTTGGAGGGAGGGCAACTATCACGAACCCACCGTTGTCCCTAAGTACTCTACGCCCTCCACCCGAATCGGGTGGACGGTATAGAAAGAAAAGGAAAGGATAAGGTAAAGGACGGTTGAGGCACAAGGCTATCGGTTAACGCTGCCTTACCCTTTTCACGTGATAGAAAGAGAGGAAGCTATAAGAGTCTCCTCTCACCTGAATCGGCTGAGAGAGAACTCTTCCTTTTTCTTAAGCGTTGAGTCGTTGTTAATAGGGCTACGTGAATAGAACAAGGCATTCAGCTACTCCAATTTCTTTGTACCTACTGCGTTGCGTAGGTCCCTGATAATGCGCCACCCCTGCTGGATGAAAAGCCTAGGAGCTATACTTGGTTTGAATTGAGAAAGTTTAGAGCTTTGCCAACTTGCTCTTGACACTGGCAGAGCTCGGGGGGTGCTTGTCAATTTCTTGAGGCGTAGGTGATAGCAAGTTCATGATCATTTGCTCCAACAGGACATATGACTTGAGTACTTCGAGGGGGGTACGGGTGCCATGATGATGAAGCTGAGGAAAGCCATTTCGTGTCGATTGCTATTGAGCTTTGCGTGATTCCACTGCACAAAAGCATATTTCCAATCCGGGAGAAGGAAATCCTCTTATGCTTTAACGACATGTCCCAAAGCCTAAAGTACAAAGGCCTGCCAGCGCTAATACGGTGGTGGACTGTCCAGCTGAATGTATATGATTGGAGTTAGCAGATGCGGCAAGTCACAATAAGCCTTTTCAAACCTTGTGAGCGGAACTGTTGACAGGTTCGCGAGAGCACCACTTGGGCAAACCACCTGAGACGCTAGGCGCTTCACCAACTGCGCAAACTGCCTCAACCTCGTTGTTCCTGCAGACCTATAATAGGAGGGCGACGGAATAGGAGGTTTCAGGAATGCTCTTATGGTTACAGGCCAATGTATACTTAAACAGGCAGAGTCTCTCTGAATAGCCAGGGGGACAGAACACAATCAACCAGACAGTTCCACAACTCAACCTTCGTTGAACAGGTACGGAGTGTTCAGGCTGTTTTGGAAGTGGTGATGTGCAGGCAGGCAGTCAGTGGTGATCGGAGTCGACTCCGTTTCACAGCCTGAGATTGGAACTGTCTTGCATGGGTAGTATTTGCAGCCTTGTTGCATGCGCAAATTGAATGTATTGAAGGTTCTGGCTCTGTTCAAGAAGGGAAGGGTAAGAGCATAGCCATAGATACGAAGTACAGCGGTGCACACCGAATATCTTTAGCGCCCCATTAAAAATGTCCTGCGACCCTAACGTCCACCTAGATTTGCTCAAAATAGCCTAGAGGCTCTACTAGTCGGCTACTAACCAATACTAAGCTCAGGGGCCAGACAAACAATCGATAGACATATTCACCGCTGTTCTAACTCCATTCGAACACTTCAAAAAATACTGACTCTCTACGAGGTATTGGCTCCTGGGTTACCAATTTAAAATCACCAGGGACCTTCCCTACGCAAAAGCATTCCGCCTGGTCCGAGATCCTCTCCACGACAGAGTCGAGGCCCTTTTTGGAAAGGCAGGATAAGCCCCTTCCGCTAAGGTCCAAACCGTATACGTTGGAGATAAGGTCTGAAGATAGACACTGGAGGTACCCGTCTAGATTCGTCAGGCGTTAAGGTATGGTCGTCGTAGCGATAGGCGCCGTCGTTGTGGTCGTTGTAGATGGTGTGGTTGTCGGGATTGTCGACGTTGTGGTTGCTGTCGTAGTGGTGGTTGTCGGAACGACCTTTGAGAATATCAGCCAGATGTGGACGGAGCTAGAAAGGAGGAGGAATCAGTGCAGCTTAAGAGAGAAAGCTGCTTACCGTAGGATGACTCTCGATACATTGACAGAAGGTGTAGACGATGCTTTGAGCCGTTTTTAGGAAGCAAAAATTGGACCGGAGAGGAACTTGTGCTAGCCGAAGCAGACTAACTGGGGTAGAGTGAGCCCCGCGGCCATCGACGTGGGTTCTGGACCTTCAACATCCTCGTTTCGCTCTACCCAGAACTCATGTTCAAGAATGCCGTCTCGCTGTCTGCAGCATTCACCTCCGCTTTCTTTCCAAGATTGGCAGGAGGATAATGCGATCGGAGCGTGATCACGGGCCTCGGTCAAAGCTACCTTCACTGGCAACACAGCAGGCGAGTTACCTTGGCATCAACCGTCTCCTTTGACAAAGAGGGTCCCAACCTGAACCAGCAGTACGGGGTAATCGAAGCACAGGAAGCAACAAGCGTGGTGAAAAAGGCGTGGATTTGTTTTCGAGTTCGTTGCTACGGAGGACTATTAGTGACATAACCGCCAAGATTCGGCAAGGAAACAAAAAAGGCGTCTCTGCCCAAGCCTCGCGCCCAACAACTGTCACGACAAGACTTTTATAGGTGCCATTCTACAAGGCTTGATGCGATATATCACCACACAGGCTGGCGGTGGAGGCTGGACACGCTGTGGCCGCCAGCCAATCTGTATGTAAAGCACAACTACAACGAGGGCTTCCCGGTTGGTCGGCTACCAAGTGGCAACTCCATCGCTAGTTGAAATCTCATCCCAGAGCGATTAAGGGATATCTCGCCTTTGTGCACCCTTGCGAAAGGACAGTCTTTCAAGTGACAAGGCACTCCGCTCTGAATTCAATATGTCAATACCCATCTCGTCACTTCTCACCAATGGCACTCCCACTCCTCCACGCAATCGATGGTAAGTCCCTCATAGCCAGCAAACAGTACGAACGTCTGACCGCGACATGTAAGGATCTACCTTGACCGCACCTTATCGACCACGTCACCGTATGCCGGAGAAGAGTTCGTGCCTGGAGAAGAAACAATCAACGCCCTAGAATCATCACGAGTCTTGGTCATTGGCGCCGGCGGGCTAGGATGCGAGATTCTGAAGAATCTCGCCCTGTCCGGCTTCAAGGACATCCACGTCATCGACATGGACACCATTGATGTGTCCAACTTAAACCGTCAATTCCTCTTCCGGCATTCCGACGTGGGTAAATCCAAAGCCGAAGTCGCTGCAGCATTTGTAGAGAAACGTGTTCCTGGTGTCAAGATCACTCCCTACAACGGTAAGATCCAGGACAAGGACGAAAAATACTACATGCAATTCAAGCTCGTTATTTGCGGACTCGACAGCATTGAAGCGCGCCGCTGGATCAACGCCACATTGGTCGACATGGTCGACATGGAAAATCCCGAATCCCTCAAACCGCTAATCGATGGCGGCACCGAAGGATTCAAAGGCCAAGCACGAGTTATCCTCCCCAGCCTCACATCCTGTATAGAGTGCCAACTATCCATGCACGCTCCCCGCGCCGCTGTGCCCTTGTGCACGCTGGCCACCATCCCGCGCCAACCTCAACACTGCATAGAGTGGGCGCACATCATAGCCTGGGAAGAGCAACGCAAGGGTGAAACCCTCGACACTGACGACCCGGAACACATCTCGTGGTTGTATACGACGGCCCTGAAACGTGCCAACGAGTTCAATATCGCTGGGGTGACGTACTCGATGACTCAGGGCGTGGTGAAAAACATCATCCCCGCAATCGCCTCTACAAATGCCATTATCGCAGCGAGTTGCTGCAATGAAGCATTGAAGATCGCGACGGGATGTGCGCCGTTTCTAGAAAACTACATGATGTACACGGGCGACTCCAACGAAGGAGGCCTCTACACGTACACGTTTGCGGCGGAAAAGAAGGAGGACTGTCCAGTGTGCGGAAACCTCGCCCAAACGCTCACCATCGACCAGGAGTGGACGCTAGAAGAGTTCCTCGCAAGTTTGGCGGAGAGGGCCGAGGCACAACTCAAAAAGCCGAGCATCAGGACCGAGGCGAAGACCTTGTACGTTCAGGCCCCAAAGAGCCTGGAGGAGCAGACGAGGCCCAATTTGGGGAAGAAGATGAGGGAGTTGGTGAGCGATGGGGAGGAAGTTGGCGTCAGTGATGCGGCGTTTATGATAAGTTTCAAGTTTCGGCTGGTGTTCAAGAAGTGAAAATGGGGTGCAGAGCCTCGAGGTCCAAGCTGATTGCCGGAGTCGCTAAGAACGGGAGGGTTGGTGCGAGGGATGGTCAAAGCAGAGAACTTTTCTCGATTTTGCAATCCGAGGTATCTAAGAGGGCCTGCATGCGACGTCCTCAATGCATAAAAACGCCAATAGATGCAGTCATGATCATGTCACATTTCAGTCTCCTGGACTTTTGATCACTCTGTAGTTGATCATTTCTCCATCTCGTCCAACGCCCTCAGCAGTCTCTTCGCCTTCTGTGATAACAGTTCGACACTCTGCAAGAATAGGTCATCGCTCGGAAACTGGCCTGTGCTCTCGACATTGAAAATAAAATGATCCTGTATTCTTCCCAACTTGACTTTCCCCTTGAACTCATCGTGCCGCAGGCATTCCCTTGACACGGTGTCGCGCATGGGGTCTTTGACGACGGCCTTCTCGTCGCCCTCACGGTTGTGGTAGGCTGGGTTGTCCGATGCCGCATCAGAGGGGGTCACACGCTCCAGGTCGATCACGCCAGGGGGAAAGCATTTTTGGAACTTCCGAGCGTCCGCGCCCAGAATTGGTTTTGTGATGGTGATGGACGGGAGGAGGCGATATGTGGCCGTCGCAACGGGTGAAAATTTCGCATGGTCGCCACCAATCCCCAGGTGCGCGTGCATGACCAAGTCAATCTCTTGACCCGGACGTAGTTTTGCAATCAATATATCTGGACTAACGGCCTCTATCGGCTCTTTCGCGAAAAGTTCCTGCTGCGCGCCTTGGGCCATGAATTCAATATGATGTGAGTAGACGTGGCTATTGATGTACTTTTCCTCTGGCTCTGTGGCATTTCTGTCGGCATTTGGATTTCGTTCACATTTAACATTCAGCTTTAGTACGACCGTGTTCGTGTCCATCCGGTCGGTGCCCTGGACACCACTGTCGGCATTCGACTCGACGAAGAAGTCCAACTCTTTGAGGCCCTCGACATTTCCCTTGAGTGGGATTAGTCCTAAGCGATGCGCGAGGACTTCATCTGCAATGACGGAGGTGTTGTTCTGGACGTAGACTTTCTCAATGGCGAGGGTTGCCACTTCGGCGAGGAGGATGCGGCGGAGAGCGTTGGCGACGGAAGCGTCGACACCAACAAGGGAGAAGGTAGCTTCGTATTTTTGATTTTGATGGAAGAGGATTTTCAAGTTGTTCTCGAATCGGACGAGGGACCAAGAGTTATCTTCGCCGGCATGGTGACCAGGAAAGTCTGTTGATGTGATGTTCGTGACGGTCTCGGCGTTGATGCCGACGATCTGAGAGGAAACACTTAGTGATATTACTCCTTCCTAAAGCAGCCGCGACCTACCTTTCGCCTGTCAAGGCTGTCTTGTGAGGGCTGTATGGAAGCCATGGAGAATTGGACGGTCGACTGCGGGATGGTCAAAGTCGCAAAAAACAGAATCAAAAGTTTCTCCAAAAATCGACATTACATAAGCTGGTGGAGACACGTATTTTCTGCCAATCACAACCTGAAATAGCTCGACGTATTGTTAAAGCTATTCTCGCTTCCAAGTCGCTGTCACTGACTTCCGACTTCAGTGGCCAAGGGCACCCTTGGAAGCCGTCTCTGCTTCGATTGATGCCGCCAACCTCGAAGCATCGCCTCGACGACAATTGCGCCTTCTTTCTTTTGGCCTTGTGCCAAACTAGACAAGCATGACTATGGCGGCCTCATTTGTACGAGCCGCGAGCCGGCACTCTCACACCTCCAAACGACTTTGCCTTACGCCGAGTTTGCAACTACCCTCAAGGCAGAGACAGTCGCTCCTTTTCTCCCGCACAATTTCATCGACTGCCCCTCGAAGAGCAGAGCCTAGTAGCACGGGGCACAATCCCGTTCCCAACCCGGAAACTCCTGGCGGTCCCTTAGCCACGACCATCAGTCCCACGGATTCTACCTTTACCAAGCACGTCCAGCAAGACTCCCAATTGATCAATAAAGCCCCGGACCTGAATTTGGGTGATGAATACGAGACAAAGAAGATCCGTCATTATACTGTTAACTTTGGTCCACAACATCCCGCTGCGCACGGAGTGTTGCGTCTGATTCTCGAGCTCAATGGTGAAGAAATTGTGCGGGCAGATCCTCACGTTGGACTGCTGCACCGAGGCACGGAAAAGTTGATCGAGTACAAGACATATCTGCAGGCTTTGCCATATTTCGACCGATTCGACTATGTCTCAATGATGACCAACGAGCAATGTTTCTCTCTTGCTGTTGAGAAGTTGCTCAATATCGACATCCCAGAGCGAGCCAAATACATTCGAACTATGTTTGGGGAGATTACTAGGATTCTAAACCACCTGATGTCGATTCTGTCACACGCTATGGATGTCGGTGCTTTGACTCCTTTCCTTTGGGGTTTTGAGGAGCGAGAGAAGCTCATGGTATGCCAGGATGCTAATTGTCTTGCTACTCGCTAATCGATGATAGGAATTCTACGAGCGTGTCTCAGGTGCACGACTGCATGCTGCATATGTTCGTCCTGGCGGTGTCAAGGCAGACCTTCCCCTTGGATTGCTGGACGATATCTATGCGTGGGCAACTCAGTTTGGTGATCGTATTGATGAGACCGAGGAACTCCTGACAGACAACCGTATCTGGATCGGCAGGACAAAGGGTGTCGGGGTCGTCTCCGCCGCTGACGCCCTCAACTATTCATTCTCTGGTGTCATGCTGCGAGGCTCTGGTGTTCCTTGGGACATTCGAAAGAGCCAGCCGTATGATGCATATGACAAAGTTGAATTCGATGTGCCAGTGGGTCAAAACGGCGACTGTTACGATCGATACTTGTGCCGAATGGAAGAGTTCCGACAGTCTTTGCGCATCATTCATCAATGCTTGAACCAGATGCCCCCGGGGCCTGTCAAAGTGGAAGACTACAAGATCGCGCCACCTCCGCGAGCAGCTATGAAAGAGAACATGGAAGCTCTTATTCACCACTTTTTACTCTTCACCAAGGGCTACACTGTCCCTCCAGGGGATACCTACAGTGCAATTGAAGCTCCCAAGGGCGAGATGGGTGTCTACCTCGTCAGCGATGGAAGCGAACGTCCATACCGATGTAAAGTTCGAGCTCCCGGGTTTGCCCACCTGAGTTGTTTCGATCAGATCAGCCGTGGCCATCTACTAGCGGATGCAGTGGCAATTATTGGCACGATGGATCTGGTCTTTGGCGAGGTGGATCGTTAGAAGGATTTGGGAGGCGGACGAAGGATTTGGAAGCACTGGTGCGGTCAGGGGCTTGGTGGTGCGACCCAAGGCTGGAAGTCCTGACCTGGAAAGCAAGAATACGCCTCTCATTGAGGTTTGAGCAATGCATTCTGTGTATATACTGTGCTAGCCGCATGCCATTCCATTTGTGTCAAAACCCGGCTATCCTCGAACGCGTCCCCTCGCAGAAGTATTCCTGCAATGCTGGGAGGTAGAGGAGCTCGTATAGACACGAACAGGCTTTTTCAGCCCACTAGACTATGGTTACCGGATTGGTGAGTAGCTGATGCCTGAACCCTGCAGCCGGCGCCACAGCCAAAACAGCTTGACCTCAGCTGGGGAGCTTTGAGTCCCTTTGGTGCCTTTGGTAACCCCTTCCACCCCTTCCCAGTTCCTGGGCTCGTGGCCCCTCCAACAGCTCCTCCCTCCTCGTGCTCCGCCACGAAATGGCCCCCAAAAGGTTCCAGGAAAGAAGTGACTCCTGCCAGCCAACCTGCAACTTCCACTCCTTTTAATGCCAGTAATTCCTGCAGATTGGGATGAAATATCTGCGCTGATCTTCCATTCAACCCTGACCGTCCCTTTACTTCTGTCCCGCATCATTCGTGGTCCCGTACTTGACCGGTCTCAATCGCTGTCAGCCGCCGACAGGCCTACCCCGCAGTCACTCGAAGACTTCTACGTGCGGCTGGGTTCACATATCGAGATAAAATAAGAGCTGGAGCAGGACCGTTGAATCTTTCTTTCGGTTCCTATAACAAGGCGCTGTCCTCTTTCTCTCTCTCGCTAGGTCTCAGATCTCGGAGGATTCTAAGACTGTCTGCGCAGGCGCTGGCCTGAACTATTGCAAACATGAGTGCCTGTGAGTCCATGCACGGCTGTTGAAAGGCGCTTCAATATCTTTCGTTTCAACAGTTATTGGTTGTTCTTGTGTGGTTATGGTTACTGTCTTTATCTGCATTCCGGGTTTCAGCACAGATGTCCCGTTCCGCTCCAAAACGATCAAATTCTCGCAAGGCACCAAGACTGATTGTAAATGAACAGTCACAGGTATGATGAACAAGCTGCAGGGCCAGCCGGACAGCTACGATAAGAAAGCCAAGTACCGTTTTGGAAAGACGTTGGGAGCGGGCACATATGGCATCGTCCGGGAGGCCGAAGTTGGTGGAGGAGACAAGGTCGCAGTCAAGATTATCCTCAAAAAGAGTGTCAAAGGCAACGAGCAGATGGTGTACGACGAGTTGCAGATGCTGCAAACCCTAAGCCACCCTCACATCGTTCGGTTTGTAGACTGGTTTGAGTCGAGAGTGAGACCTCCCCCCGGGCGGAATAAATATGTTGCGAGACTAACAAGAGACAGGACAAGTTCTACATTGTGACCCAACTTGCTACTGGTGGAGAGCTGTTCGACCGCATTTGCGACAAGGGCAAGTTCACTGAGAGAGACGCCTCGCAGACAATTAGGCAGGTCCTGGAGGCAGTCGACTATCTTCATGAGCGAAATATCGTCCACCGAGGTGGGAAGAAACCCTTTTTCCGTTTGAATGCCTTCTGACCGACTTCTGTAGATCTCAAGCCAGAAAACCTCCTCTACCTCACCAAAGATCCTGATTCTCAACTCGTCCTTGCCGATTTTGGCATTGCCAAAACACTTGAAGGCCCAGGTGCTGTCCTGACCTCAATGGCAGGGTCTTTCGGCTATGCGGCACCTGAAGTCATGCTCAAGCAAGGCCACGGCAAGGCTGTTGACATGTGGTCATTGGGTGTCATTACTTATACCTTACTTTGCGGCTACTCTCCTTTCCGCTCCGAGAACCTAGCAGATCTCGTTGATGAATGCAAGGCCGGTCGAATTATCTTCCACGAGCGATACTGGAAGGATGTCAGCAAGGATGCAAAAGAATTCATCTTGACATTATTGCAACCAGAACCCAAGCGACGAGCGACGAGTAAAGAAGCACTCAAGCATATCTGGCTGACCGGTGAAACTGCCTCAGACCACGATCTCTTGCCAGAAATCAGATCTTACCTCGCAAAGATGAAGTTGAAGCGCGGCATCGAGCTTGTCAAACTGGCCAACCGAATCGACGCCCTCAAGATGCAGGACGAAGAAGAGCCCGGCTCACCGGACGCAAACGACATACCTGCCAATGCACAGAATGCTGCTGGGTTGGCCGTCAAGAATCAAATCAGGGGAGTTTCTCCTGGACGAGGTCTCGCCACAAACGAAACAGGCGAGAGGAGACCGCTGAGCAATGCTGCGAAGAGTGCAATTTTCCGAGAGGTGGTTTTGGCGAAAGTAAGGGAGATGAAGGAAAAGGAAAAGACAGACAAGCTTGTGGCGGACATTGCAAAGGAGCATGAGAGAAGAAAGAGTTTCTCCGGTGCAAGGTCTTGATGAAAATGAAGATATTGGTGGGAGAGTCGTGAGCCGCAATGGTCAACCACTTTCACCAAAGCCAGATTGATACTGTATCGACAGGCTGAAACGACATGGTTATACACGGTAGCGCCACGATACCCCGTTGTCAGCGGTGATAATGATGGAAGTCAGGATATTATTCATGCGTGACGATAAGTCAGCTTTGCACACGGTGGCTTAACGCCCCTTTCCGGGCTGCCTGTTGAACGATCCAGAAGGACTTGGGGGAAGCATTGTCGAAATCCATACTTTGTCCACACGGTGCAATGTCAATATTTCGTATTCGGACCGCTAGCTGTAAAATGGTTCTCCATCCCCTTATGAATCGAGCAATGATCTTCATCGGATTGAGATCGACCGAAACTTCACCAAGACATTCAGTTGTAGTGTAACATTCTCCTCAATCTTAACAAACATATATACGCTATACGCTACCCTAGGTAAATGCACATGGTTTCTATAAAAAGTTCTATACAAAGCTTCATTTCCTGGTTCTCATCATACCATTACGCCTTCGCCATTACTGGTACACTCTCTCACTGCCTGTAGACCTCAGCAGTGCCGTTGTTTTCCAGATATCCCTTCGCCAAATCAAATTGTATTCGAGCGCTCACTGACGTTTTTCACACCAACTACCCTACTTCGCCCGCCTCTATACCCCTCATTTCTCGATCCCCCTCTCTCGCGAACTTCTATTTCCATCTGTTGGAGCTCGAATGGTGATGGAATCATTCTTCGCAGACCGCGTCTATGCTGTTTCCGGCGGTGCAAGTGGAATAGGCTTTGCAACTTCGAAACTGTTGTTGAAATACGGCGCCAAAGTCTCCGTGGGGGACATACTTATTCCTGGAAATCTCCTTTCAGACCTCACCAAAGAGATCCCCGTCACAGGAACCACAGGCCCCGAGGGAGAAGCACCCGAACACAAACGTATTCTTCTCAGAAAGGTCGACGTGCGGTCTCGCGAAGCTGTCGAATCGTGGATAAATGAGACTGTGGAACGCTTTGGAAAGCTGGATGGGGCGGCAAATCTTGCAGGTACAATCCCCAAGGATCATAATATCGGTGGCATTGAGGATGTAGAAGACGAGCAGTGGCATTTCGTCTTCGATGTCAACGTGCATGGTATGATGAACTGCATGCGGGCGCAGCTCAAATTCATCGGGAAAGATGGAAAAGATGGGCGGAGGGCAGGGGGAGCTGTCGTCAACGCAGGAAGTGGACTGAGTCTTCAAGGAAGGGAATACACAACTGCATACACAGCGAGTAAACATGCGGTACTGGGCATGACGAGGTGTGTGGCAAAGGAGGTTGGGAAGAGGGGAGTCCGTGTGAACTGCGTTGCGCCGTGAGTTATTCACCCCATTCCTTTTCCCCGTTGTCCATTGCCACAAACTGGTATTACCCTTTACCATGAAGGTGGAAGGGATCATTGTGCTAACTTATTGCCATTTGGATCTACTACTAGGGGTTTCACAGACACACCGCTGATGAAACAGTCCATGGCGATATCCGAGGGTTCGGCGTCGGCAGAGGATTTCTCAACCACGGCACTAGGCAGGCTGGCGCAGCCAGTCGAGATCGCAGACACGATCGTCTATCTGTTGAGTGATAAGGCGAGTTTCGTGACAGGAGCGTGTGTCTCTGTTGATGGAGGGTGGTTTTGTTGATCTGCCCGAATAATTGGAGATCCTCCTCCTTTCCCCCCGCTCCGCTTCTGCGACCGAAGCAGTATTTTAATTGTTGATAGAGCGTGCCGAAAGCTAAGCAGAGCTTTATACGAGGTATATCCAGAGACATTGTGGCATAGACGCACGCCTCCATCGGAAATAGAACGGAAGGGTCTCAGCCTTGTCCGCTGTCATTGGCCGACGGTGAAGTCGCCGAGCTTGCCCCGAGGCATAATTTCTTCCGTCTCTCGGGCGCAAGTCAATATTAAGCTTGCTTGCCTTACCCTTTAGCCTCGAATCACACTGTGAATGATGTGCTGCTAACATGCCACCCCAGCGTGCCGTCTGGCGTGCCTCTCGTGCATTTGCCTCCTCAAATCCACCTTCTTTCGCCGCTAGGTACTATTCCTCTGCTCCCCGGCCTGCAACCGAGGAATCCAAGAATGCAATCTCCCCTCGCTGGCTCTCAGACACCAAATCCCGTATTGGACGATGTATCACCTTCGGTCTCTCTCCAAAGCTAGTCGACGAAGCTGGCCGAGTCCTGCAGATCATCGCCCGAGACTGGCGAGAGCTCATTGCAGGCAGCGAGGGATATCTGACCTCGGAGAAAAGAGCAGGCCTACACAGGCAGAACATCGTCTGGGGCGAGCAGGATTCCATGGGCCACGTGAACAACGTGATGTACGTCCGATATGCCGAGAGTGGCCGGTGCAATTGGATCCGCAATTACAGCGGACACATTGACCCGGTGCACAAGAGACAATGGGAAGAACTATTGACATCTAGAGGCATTGGATTAATTCTGAAGAGTATTACCGTCGATTTCAAATTTCCAATGACATGGCCAGATCGGATCTCTGTTTACCACAAGCTTCGGTCGCGTCCGGACGAGTCTACAGAGTCATTGATCCTGGATGTGTTAATCATGTCCGAGGTACGCCAGAGGCCGGCGGCGAGATGCCTGGAAGACGTCGTGGTGTACGACTACAGAGTCGGAAAGAAGAGCACGCTGGAACCGTTTATGCTAGAGCAGTTGAAGAAGACGTTTGATTTGCAAGAGGCCGCAAAGCGGGAGAACCATGCTAAGATCGAATGGATTGAGGAACGCGTGAGGAGCTTGGAAACAGGGTCCTGGGATAGAGATGATGCCAAGGAAGATCTGGGGACCGCGGGAAGACAATAATCATGAATTTTGCTCGGACGAGAAGAACTACAGATTTGAAGGATGTACTGGGCGGCAACCCTCATGGCAAGGCCGTCGGCATCCAGTCCACATTGCAATGCTGAGACTTGCGTGGAATAAAAATACAGGCAGACTCGGCTTCCTCAACAACATCATCGACCAAATTTGTTCGCTTTGGGGATCCTTTGATGGAACCCCTTTGTCGAAGACGAGAACTTTCCCCTTGGGAATTCTCTCCGTCCCAAAACCGACTCAGAGGCCGGCGTGCGTCGTGACGACGATCCGCAAGGGCTCGCTCGCTCACTCGACAGCGTGGGCATCGGGCCGGACTGTAGTTTTATCTACGAGCCCGAAACCTGCCACTCAGTCGCGACACAAGGTCTCAAAAACCTGGCCACCGAAAGCGTTCCGCGGCCGTTGAACGGCACGAGAATCAGCAGTACCGAGAGTCGAGCACCCAGCGACCTCGCGACTCCCACGGACCAGCTGGGCGCAAAAGTCGTCTGTCCCTCTGTTTGTCTGGCTGGACTCTCTGTCACTGCTAAGTGTGGAAGGGGATAAATCAGGGGAATCTGCGCCCTGTCAATAAGCAAAGCGAGGTACTTTGGAGTATTCTGTAAAGAAGTGGTGCCAGGAGCCAGAACCCGCATCTTCGCGGATTAGTCTAATTATCCATACGGCTCGGGACATGAGATATACTCAAAATAATCACGAGGAGCCAAGTCGATATCGCGACAAGTTGAGAATGAGTCCTGGGCGGACGACATATCCAATATATATATATATCTTCCCGACATTGTAAACCCATGAAAGGAAGCCACGCAGTCATGACACGTGGCTATTTCTTTTCTGTCGAGCATTTCGCTGCCCAAGTCGCATTTGTTATCCAACTTCATGGTTTCTGTCTACTCATCCCAAGGCCATCGGCGCTCCAAAGCAATCTGTTTCCCAGAACCAGACGCCTAACCGACAGAAATCCCGCTAACACTACTCTTCTCGGCGATGACTTCTTTTAATACTCCCAAATCTTTTCTTCAATCCTCCACTAAGTCTCTTGCTGATGCTTCCACTTCTTCCGAGCCCTTCGCCTTTGTCCCACCCCGATCGATCTGCCGTGGGGGACACAGGGCCGCTCGAGCTGCGGTTGCGAGTCTTCATTTCAATACTATCATTACCGTTGGATTTCCGCTCCTCATCGGAGATCTTGTGATCCTTAAGCACCTTCTCCAAAGTATAGCTTGGCTCACCCTTGCCTTTGACATCGCCTGGGTGATATTGAACGCCTGGCCAGCGTTTATAGGCGCCACCTTCCGGGCTCCCTTCGATCATCATATTGTCACCTTCTTCATAACTGTAAACGTTTCCGTTACGATCCATATTTCCTGGAGCGTACGCCGCAACGCCGTCGAGCGGTCTGTGGCCCCGCACCGAGTCGATGATTTTCTCCCTGGGAGTTGCTTTAAGAGCTTCGGCATTGGAATTGGCTACTGCCGCGAGCGGACTGTTTAGTGAATTGTTCCGCGCGAACAAAGTAGCATCGTAGGGACCACCATGGTGATAAGCTCCGCCGCCTGTAAGATCAAGCTTGTCGATGATATCCGGTTGGATGTGGTGTTTTCTGGTCGCATGACGTGACCGATCTGCCACGGCTTTCTCTTTTGCCAGTGTGTCAAGAGGTCGGTGAGACATGTCCCCCGGATAGCGCTCAGAGAGAGAACTTCCTCGTCGGCGGCGATCGCCATTGGGGCTCGAGTGGTTTTCACCGCCGAAGGCTTCTTGTCTGTGGCTCGGGGACCGGTGCGTTTGGGGAGACCGCAGGGATTGAGGAGACAGTGAAGAGTGGTTGGTGGTGGTCGGAGAGGTTGCTGAGGGTGGGGGTGAAGGATACGACTGGGGAGGGTATGGGCCTTTGTTGCTTGAGATAGGAGAGTAGCTATTGCTGTTCAATGAAGCGGACCGTTTGATCTCGGCCGTGTCGGTATTGGAAAGGGAGCTCTTGTGATATGGATTTGTCTTGGAAAGGCGCCGTCCTACGAGTTGCTTCGACTGGGGGGAAGGCTTGACCAGAGCAATTGTCGCACCAGGCCGGAAGGTGTTTCCTGGGCCATCTTCTTGAGAAGGATCCGGTGCGTTCAATGGGTCAAGTAGGTATTTCGTAGCCTGAAGCGGAAAGGGTGTCAGCCTCGCGTGCTACTGATCCATTGCGATGTCCCTGGGTAAGTACCTACCCAGTTTTTGTCGCCAGTGTCCATGGTCTCTGCTCACACGAGCGGTCGTCACGGACTGAACCGATGTCTCGTTGGGCAGTCCTGAAAGGAATAGAGAACACAAAACAATTGGAAATTTGCTATCTCAGCTTACACGCAGTCAAAAGATCAAGAGGAGTTCTTTCCCTGTGCATGCATTGAGAAACACCAGGGGCAATCGGAGCTTTGAAAGGAAGCAGAACAGAGCATGGCGGGCAATCAACCCTGCTGTCGATGTCATGGTGGAGAGCAGCCTGAATACCCAGTAGAGGGCCTCTGGGCTGGTAGGCCGCCTTCTACCAGGGTCAGCGGGGCAGCTAGGCTGCCGGCCAACAGGTCTGGGGGTCTGAACTCTACCAGTAGGGTTCGGATTTGGGGGCTTCTAGGGCTTGCCAGGCACCAAGCCACCCAGTCATTGGGCTTGTGCCTCAACGTCATCCACTAAATTAAGCCTAGTGGCCCCATTGTGGTCGTTTGACACTGGCTGGCGGATCTTGCCCCCACTGGAGCCACTGTAGGTTCTTTACATACTCGATACTGTAGGTACAGCAGAGAACGCGCAACCACCATCAACCATCCCATCCACCAGACCACCATCAACTGCGCCACTGCATCGCTGTCTGCACAGCTCTGTACAAGTGCAAGTGCGTGCTCTTGACGGAAGCTCTGAAAAGACATCTTTATGCACGAGGATCCTCGTTCTTTCCGCTTATCCCGGTCTCTGAAAGCATTCTCTGATTTGCACCTGTCGCCTTGTCTCCGGCGAAAACGACTTCAGACAACCTGCACATCTGAGACATTGTCCTCGTCACCACCCTAGCATTTCCACCTGCTTTCTTTCAATCTACCATTCGCCAGCGCTGGTTTGCTGATGTTCCCGGCGAACCCTTTATCTCGGTGATCGTCAAATTTTCCAAGGATCTCAACCTGCTCGAGCCCCGGCTGGACCTCAACTCTGTTCGCTCCCAGGGGAATATCTCATCCTGGCATCAAGCTTCGACACCCGCCTTGGCAGGTACATTGGTCATTGAGCCATGCGGCTTTTCCAAGTTCAACTGCTGAAACTTGATCATGGTGCTTGTCGACTACCCAGATTCAAGCTCTGAGAGCGAAGAACAAGAACGAACGAAACCGACTATCAAGCAAGGCAGTGGGAAACGGAAGGCTGAGCATGTGGAACAAGAGGGACAAGATTTCAACAGGCCCAAACCGTCTCCGCCGCCATTACCCAGCTCGTTCCACTCCCTGTACGCAACCAACGCGAGAAGCTCGACCACCGACGACCCTTCTTTGCATGCCGGTCGCACGCGTCAAGTCCCCCATGTGGTAGGTAACTGGCCCACCCACATCTATCTCGAGTGGTATCCATCAAAATTCTGCCTTGCGACCCTCGATGCCGCGATACGGAAAGCCGCTTCGGTATTGGGGCTAGGACAAGGAGATCAGAGAGGCAATGTCCACAGCTTCTTGCATTCTGAGTTGGGCGTACAGTTACCTCTCCACATCAGTTTGTCTGCTCCCCTCGTGTTGAAGACGGAGCAAAGAGATCAGTTCCAAACCAGCCTCGAATCAAAGTTGAGCCAGGCCCGTATCCGGCCTTTCACGGTCGAGGTTTTAGGACTCGACTGGGTAGCGAATCACGTCAAAACAAGGTTCTTCTTGGTTTTGAGGCTCGTGAAGCCTGAAAACGATGAATTAAACAGGTTGTTATCAATATGTAATGCGACTGCCCGGCAATTCGGTCTGCCTTGTCTCTATGCAGACTCGCGCGATACCCCTACAAGCCTTCTGTCCCACTCGAAGAGAAAGACGGTGCCCGAAATGACTGATAAGTCGGATGCCTTTCACATCAGTATAGCATGGACTCTTCATGAGCCTGATGACCAAAGCAGGCAAGAACTTATCCGCCTCGCAGATGACCAGTTGCGGGCTTTGAAGGCGAGCTTCCTGCTTCTCAAGCTGAAGATCGGGAATGCTGTGATCGATAGTCCTTTCGCTATCGGCCGTGATGGAGACAGGTGATGACTCTGATGTTGGTGGTCTTGTCTCGGGCCAAGCGGAGTCTCCTGCGTCTCTCTTTCTTCAGGCGCAAGGTTTGGCCCGAGCCGTCCTGCTCTATGCCCGAATGCAAGGACACAATCCAACCCCTTCGCCCCCAAGACTTGCCGGGAATTTGTCGTCGCTTTCTCGACGCATACAGGTTTCTCGACTCTGCGGCTTTCCTCAAGCAGCCACGCATCTCAGGTGGGCGCTCAGCGATATCGTAGTTTCGTGAAAGGCGATCTCTCAGGGCACGAAGAAGCCATAGGACCCCTCAGTAACCATGACTGAGACACCTTGCTGTCTTTCGATCTATGACTTGCGAGGAGTCAGATGAAGAGCAAACCTGCCAATGTGACACAGATTCGTAATTGAGGTGTCGAATGTAATGCCAGATTGGAAGCGATTCCTCAGCTCTTCAACAGCTTGTTCCTCTTTTCTCTTCGCTTCCTCCTCTCGACTAATTTCTTGTGCATTTTCTCCGCCATCTTCTCGTAACGCTCCTTCTCCTCTTTGGCTTTTCTCCTGTCCTTGATGGCCTGGACACGTTGGGTCCGTTCGGCTTCTTTTTCCTGCTTCATTTCTTGTTCGCGAGCTTTGGTGGCCTGTTTGAGTGCCTCTTGTTCTTTTCGTTTGGCATAGGTCGTCTGGCCGGCAGTCAGGCGGAAGGGTTTCTTAGGAGCGTGCCAGTTCTTGCCTGTTCATTGAGTGAGTTTCACCGAATAGCTTGCAACAGACGCACTGTACCGTTGACTCTCATTCCGATCTTTTGGACAGATTCGGTTGCAGGCTTCGCCATCGAAGATTCTGCTGCGGTCATTGTAGCCCCAGTTGGTGACAGCTGGTCGACAAACATATCTCCAGCACTGCCTCTTCCCGTAGTGGCAGCGTGCTGTATTACCCTCCGAAGCTCAAAATCAAAGCGCAGTCCCTTCAAGGCTTGCGGTGGGTGCGGTTGCAGCGGTGGTTGGCGAATATATTCCCTAGCTTATCGAAAATTACGGCAGAGCGGAAATGTTGCTGTCTGGCACCGTGAATTTTGCTGCCCAGCATGGGAGTTTTGCTTGCGTCGCGCAGGAGTCGTCTTAATACTTCGAATAATACCCTGGATGAGCCTCTCGTTTTGACCCTGTCAGACATTCCACGCGGTCGGCACATGAGGCCTTTCCCTCCACGTCGAATTTTGCCCGCAAAATGTTTTTTTTTGCCTTCACTCCACTCCTCGAGTACAACTGGAGCCCCCCTCGATTGCGAGGTTAAAAGTATGAATGCAAAACTTCACAACCGTTTTGAACGGTTTCTATTCTCTGCTATAAATTGCCAGTCCTGTGCTTGATCCTCGAACAATTTCCTCTGCCCGTTGGCCTGCTGGCGTGTCACTGCGTTTGAAAGCTCCGCTCCGATTTCGCACGACACCGCCCTCCCTTGGCTTCAGCGAGCCCCTCTCACACATATACTTCAACATGTTACTACGATAGCATTCCTTGTTCCGGCTCCTCATACTCTCTCCCTGCATGGCAGCCTTCAAAGATGAACTGCAGTCAGTCTCTGGCTTCGACCGGAGCAGTTCTCACAAACCAAGCACATCCACCCACCAACAGTCAGAGCGCCTGCTCACCCCTCCAAGCCAGAGCCTGGAAGCGCTTAAGGACATAGTCTATGGATCAACAGCTGGAATTCTAGGGAAGTTCGTTGAATATCCGTTTGACACGGTCAAAGTGCGACTCCAATCCCAATCTCACGAGCCTGGCGCAGCCCGGTTACAAGGTCCCCTCGACGCCTTCTCTGCAGCATTTCGGTCCCCCGAGGGGCCTTTTGTGTCTCTGTATAGAGGCATCAGTGCCCCTTTGGTCGGCGCTGCGATAGAAACCTCCTCGTTGTTCTTCAGCTATCGAATCGCTCAACATATCGTCGTGGCAGCAACTCCTTCCCTTCGCGCTCAACGAGATCGAAACCCTCATGGCAAAATCGAACTCCCTTTTTCTTACCTCCTTGCTTGCGGCGCCGCCTCAGGAGCTTTTACGTCCCTTCTCCTTACTCCTATCGAGCTTATAAAATGCAAGATGCAAGTCCCCTTGGCCCCGTCCGACCTTGCCTCGAAGTTGGGCTGCACAACAGCCCGCTCTCCCGGGCCCCTGCAACTCATCACCACAATCTTCCGCACCCAAGGCCTCCTCGGCTTCTGGCATGGCCAGCTGGGCACCCTCATTCGCGAAACAGGCGGTTCAGCAGCCTGGTTCGGCTCTTACGAGGGTGTTAAAATGCTGTTCCTACGCTCCGACCCTACCCTGAACCACGTATCAGATGTTAAGGTGTGGCAGCAGATGGTTGCAGGAGCAGCGGCGGGGATGTCGTATAATTTCGTTTTTTATCCGGCCGATACGATCAAGTCACGCATGCAAACGTGCAGTACCGATGTCGTTGCTGGGCAAAAGAGACTCACGTTTCTATTGACGGGCCGAGAATTATGGCGGGAGCAGGGACTCAAGGGGTTCTATCGTGGTTGTGGAATAACAGTGTTTCGCGCGGCGCCCAGTTCAGCGATCATTTTCAGTATCTACGAGGCGTTGCGGCGATATCTTGGTTGAACATGTGGATATGAGCGAGAGCGGGCAACCGATCATTCTCTCTTCCCATAATGGCACTTCAACAAGGCAGGAGATTACCAACAAGGGGGTGCTAGAATCTCCTGAAATGTGGCCATACATATGCCCTGAGAGCTAGACTCGAAGTCTTCCCCAAGCAAGAGGGGACGCGACCCCAACATGTGTTGGCTTCGTCGGTGACTCGAGTCAGATCAGCGCGAAGACGTGGAATAGGCTGGGCCACAATATTACCCATGGTCTGAAGAGACGATTTGACGCGAAAACAAAGATTTGGATTCGGCATATGGCGGGCTTTAGAGCTGAGGGGGAAATCTCGACATCAAGATCACAATCTTGCAACATTTTCAAAAAAATCCAAGCATGCATTTCTAAGGCGACGCCTGATACCCCAATAGACACAGAAGGAATTTCGGTCACTGGACCATGTTTATTTGAGCTAGGCAACATATTCGGCATGGCGGGAAACTGGTTTTGGTTCATGCATTCTTCAGCGATAGACCATCACAGACAAGCTTGAATATCCAAAGGAGATATTCCATCTGGATCTACTTCATGTCCATCTCTGATCAGTCTTGATCTATGCGCCATGTCATCCACTCGAAACCATTCTATCTTTTCTTGGTCTCGGCGCCTCGTCTAGGGCAGAGGGGCCTTTATTCCTCATACTCACAGTCCGCCGTCAGCGTTGTCATCGGAGTCGGTCTTACCTTGAAAGTCCTCGACAAGATCATCCGGACAATAAAGCCATGCCCACTGCTCAAGGACGGCCATCTTAAAGTAGGCCTCCTCGTCATGCTCGACCCCGTCATGCTCGTGCTCATGCCGGTGCCCAGCCCGAGCCTGCTGGAACCTCGCGAGAGATCTGTATATTTCGCCATCGTTCAATTTCCGCTGTTCTTCAATCGGTAACCGCAGATTGTGCATCTGCTGCGTCAGCTGGAGGATCCGGTCGATCCGATCTTGTCTGCGCGCGTGCCATGTCTGCAAGGATTTCCTTAGTCTCTCATCGACTTCGATGCTACTCTTCACCACTTTTGACCCCCTGGCATCGCTTCCAGCATGACTGCCGACGTTGTCGAACGTGAACACGGCTTTGAGGACACGGGCGAGCATCCAGCCGTCTTCGAATGCCTGGTTCGCCCCCTGGCTGCTCGTAGGCGGCATCGCGTGCGCAGCGTCTCCCATCAGAATTACCCTCCCACCTCCTCCGCTATCGTTGGCGGTTCCGCCTCCCTCGCCGTTGCTGCCGTCGAGATTCTTGCTAGAAGAAGACCACCATCTCTCCAGCTTAGGCAAAGTCTGCAGCGGCCAGATATATGTGCTTCCCAGCACGATGTTATCCACCGCGCGCTGGACGATGGGTACTCGGTTCTCGTAACCCTCGCGGAGGAAGTCGAGGTGAAAGTCTTGATCCGCGGAGAGGCGGGCCCATTCCTCGCGCGTCTGGGGTAGAAAGGGACGCTGTGTGCCTGCTAGAAGCTCACTGGCGTCAGAGAGCTGCGGGCCCAGGAGGAAAGCGCCTGCGCCGTTGCGGCCTTCGAGTATGGCGACAGTGTCGAGCCCATCATTTCCGTCCGCTCCTCCACCACCAGCGCCATTGAGGGACGATGCTTTCACGGCGCCGCAGACCACGAGGACGCCGTTATATTCAGGCCTGAATTGCGGAAAGAGCACTGTGCGGATTTTGATGTGTATCCCGTCTGCAGCGACGAGGATGTCCGCGTGAGCCATGGTCCCGTCTTGGAATTTGAAGTGCACTCCATCATCCTCCTGCCCATCGTCGTCCTCGGACAGCAGGATCTCGGAGAATTTCTTGCCGGAGACAACGTCGATGCGCCTCTCGGCGCACGCCGTCGAAAGCACCTTGAGAATCACGTTCCGATACGCCCTCAGCGCATCATAACCAAACAGCTCACGAGAACCCAAGTAGAAACAACTGTCTTCCGGCTCGCCTTCCGCGTCCCTGATCTTGACGGCCGGAAAATTGTACACTTGCTCACGCAGCTGGGCATATGCGCCGTATTTGTCGAGGATGCGCAGGCTGTCGGGCGACAGCATGACCGCGCCGGCGAAGCGGCCCCCGGTCGAAGCGGCCTGTTCATATACTGTGCACTTGATTGAGTGTACGTGCAGGGCAAGCGCCATTTTCAGGCCGACGAGGCCGGCGCCGATGATGGCGACGTGAAATTGGGAAGTCATGGCAGCTGCTGGTGCGCCGACGCCCGAGATAGATACCCAGGTGTAGGCGGAATTGCGTGTATCCTTGGTTGATGTCCCTGCTGCTCAGACGTGCCTGCCTACTAGATAACTAACCAGCGCTGCTGGAATCAGGGGCCTTCTCAGCCTTGCGTCGATTGCTCGTTGGCGGGACACCGCAGCCGCGCTGGTAGTTATCAAGCTTTACTCTACCTGGGAGTGAGTACGTGTTACAACGACGGATTCCTGAAGATGGTTCCCCGAAAGCTTTTCAAGTTTCGAATCAGCCAGGTCCTCGGAGATCCTTGACTTGACGGTAACCACTAATTAGTCCTGTTCAGATATATACGAACATGCGACAGGAGGGGGACAACGGTTCAGGGACAGTGCTGACCTGACTCTGAAGGATACGAATGGGCGTGCTGTCAGACGCCCGATGATGATATTGTTCAACGGAGTAAGCCTTGTGAGAATCGGGATGTGGACAGAGCATACTCGGCATATACGAGTCGAGCTTCCTAGATAGAGATAGATGACTGAGTGACTGGCAGGTACACTAAATAAAAAGTTGAAAGAGGTTTCCGCCAAAGTGGCCTTCAGTGTGATCCATTGGCATTGACGTTGGCATTGACAGCGGAGAAAGGTCATATCATTCAAGTACCACTAGTGCCACCACGGGCTGACGACTCGTCCAAACCGAAACATTCGAAAATGTCGATCTTTGGAAAGCTCTCCCACACCGGATCGAAGTTGGTCCCAACGTAGTGGGACGTGGAATTGTAATAATCAGCCGCCCCATTGACAGGCTCTGAACGCGGCTCGTCTACCGGGGCCACAACAATCTGAACATTCGCGCGCTCCAGCTCGACTCGACAGTCGCGAGCTAGATCTTGCAGTCTCTCCAGGATCATGCTTTCCTTGCTCTGTTCGGGATGTTGTGATGGTAGCAAAGACGTTAGGATGATGTTGTAGTAGACAATGTCTTTGACTTTTGAACCCCGATACGGTAGGCGACGGGTCATTGGCTCTAGTGTGTCTTTGGCTGCCCATATTAGGCTGCTTTGGGTATACGAGGGTGCTTTGACGATCCCATCGGTCGGGATATTCGGGGACGGCGTTGGATGGGTGCACGCCGCCGCACCACTGGCCTGCGCGGCGGAGTTGAGCTTCTTGATCTCGAGACAGAGTCCCAAAATAGCCTGACCCAGTTCCTGTCTGTAGCATGTGTAGAAGAAATCCCAGTATCCTTGCGGTTGAGGAACGTTGAGCTCAGAGTATTGCGGGTCGAAGAGGTCTTGATAGTTCGCGAGCATGAGACAACTTTGAAGGTATCCAGCCCTCGCTTCTCGCTCTAGCTCATTGGTGCCCGGTGAAAGAATGCAACACGAGTATAGGTGCATCAAGGGTCGCCTGATGCTGATATCCAGCTCCATCCGGGCCATCAATCGAGGTGGAGTCTTGCTTGCAGCATCCCCTGTGTAATTGAAGCGTAAAGGCGGAGGAAGCTCTTGGAGCACTTTTTCCAGGTACCGCGTGTGCTGAAGGATGTCTTCAAATTTGACATGGGTAGCGTCGTCTATTTGTTTGCAAGCTGCGACCCGGCGAGGAAATGATTGAGCGAGGAGATATTGACATAAGCCATCAGTCCAGTCCTTGGTAGGTCGCGATTGGGGCAATATCTCCATGCCCTCGAAAATTTCTTCATCGTTAACATTTCGCGGGGGCTTTGAAGTGTACGAAGGGACGAGGCATGGCATCTTGCACAGAATCGACAGCATCAGGTCGCACTCAATAATGGTCATCCAGTTCCGCCTCCGGAGTTCGCCTTCGAACACGCTGATGCCCGGTATGGTCGTAGGGTCTTGGTCCATCTTCATGACCAAGGCATCTCTCAGAAGCTCACCATTCATTCGGAACAGATCATCCATCGGATCCAACTTTAGCCAGCTGCAGATGAGAAGGAGCATTTTAATCTGCAAAGAGGGCAGGCGATATCTCTCGTTGTTCCCTAGGTCTCGAAGAAAGTTCTTCATGAATTGCAGTGCATCATCAGGCTTGATGACCAAACACGCTCGGGCTACTTCGCATTCTCTATGAGTGCCAAGGATAACAGCGACTGCCAGGACCCCGACCAGCTGCTGGATAAAGCCAAACCTGCAAGCGTGCTCACCCTCTGCAAAGAGTATTCTCAGTTGGTCTCTGAATTCGGGCCAATGCAAGATTCGAAAACAGTGTTCCATGTTGTCGAAATAGAGGATCGCTAGTTTTTCGCACACGTCGAATGACGGCAGCTGTAGAGGGCATTGAATGATCGAGGAGACTGAGGGCGACTGGCCTCGTTGTGCGCGGTGATTTTTCTCGACAGAGTAGTGTAAGTCTTTCAGCCTTCTTCGCAACTCAATCATATCAGGAGTAGTCGAATCATTTTGCAGCTTGAGCATGAACGTACAAGCATCGCTGAACTATCTAGGTCAGTCTCGAGGGTAGCAGAAGGCTATGGGCCGAATCCTGTGCAGACTCACCTGCAAGCTCATTTGAGTGGGCCTGTTCAAGGAGTGTACAGGATGAACAAGGCCATCTGAACCGGGATCAGCCGGTGGACTCTGACGAGCAAGTGGCTCGCCATTCCGTGCGGTGCTTAGAGCCAGTAAAGCCTGCTCTAGCCTGGACACCCTCTCCTGTAGATCCTCAATGACACCCTGCCTCGCTGGAGGGAGCGTTTGGCAGAAAGGACCGTTTCGTGCCAGGTCACTTTCAGGTCCATCAATGGTAGCAGGTGGAACCAGACGCTGCCGCTTGGTCGGTACACTCCGAGTTGCTGAGTAGTCGGGGTTTGGCTCGGGTTCCTGACCGGCCTGGTATTCGCATCTGCCCGGGCGTCCGATCTTGACACATTGCTGACAGGGATGCGAGCGGGAACAACGCAGTTTTTTGCGTCTACACTCCAAGCAAGAAATTACCGGCCTCGGTCGCTTTGCTGGGGCAGGATGAGCAAGACTGGACTCTGACATGTCTGATGTGGTGGAGAGAGTATGAAGCTGTGGGCACTCATACTTGATAATGGAGGAGTCTCGGATGTTCGAGTCGACGTTGAGGGAGGGCCAATGCAATCTTCAAGCCCCTATTTGCGCGTAACAAATGATGTATTGAGTGGTTGTAACAGGACAGGGGATACCTAGGGTACAGGTACGTATGAAAAGAAAAGAGCGTCAAATACCAGAAAAGATGCGGTGCTCCAAATCATCTGACGAGGACGGAATATGGAGCATGTACGTACCGACCTCGCGACCTCGGCTGGCCGCTACAATTGCTCTACGCCATTCAATCCATCATGTGCTGACAGCTGCCTGCGCTCGCTCTTCTAAGATTATGTTGTTACTTTTGAGCCGGTTTTAGAAAGAGCTTGATGTTCATCTGCAGGAATATAAAAACTGCTGGGAACACTATCCAGGTCGTCATCGCTCGGCATAGACCGTCCATCTACACCAACTACCACATTCCCAGGCATCGGGCTTCCGATTCCCGGCCAAGCATGGATCCCAAATTGAGGAAGATCATCGAACTCATCGAGTCAAAGAAGAAACCATCGCATCCTTGGAATCGACAGGAGAGATTTAATCAGCCGTACTTCTCCTTCTCGCCCGAGACAGCTTCATGGCAGCAGGTCACTCCGTCCAAGAGCGCTCCACAAGGACCAAACCTCTCTAGATTTATGCTTCTATCATGGAATATCGACTTTATGCTCCCGTTCACCGACGAACGGATGCGGGCTGCTCTCAAGCACCTACAATCTCATGTCGAGGGCACTTCGCTCCCTAGTGTCGTCATGCTGCAAGAGATGCTGGAGACCGACCTGGCCCTGCTGCAAGCCGAGCCCTGGATTCGAAGCAACTACCACTTGACAGATATAGATAATAAGTACTGGGAGTCGGGCCACTATGGTACCTGTACCCTCGTGCCAAAAGACTTGCCCATCACCTCCGTCTTCCGTGTCCATTACGAGCAGACCGTCATGGAGAGAGACGGGCTATTTGTCGACGTGGATTTTGGCAACAGCCAGATCATCCGCATCTGCAACACGCATCTGGAGTCGTTGATCGCAGATCCGCCAAAAAGACCTCACCAGCTAGCAACGGCCGCAACATGGATGCATGATCCAGAGACAAGCGGCAGCGTCCTCGGCGGAGATCTGAATGCAATCCAGGACTTTGACAAGACACTCCATTCGGACAACAATCTCTCTGACGCCTATCTGACACTTGGAGGGAAGGAGGACACCGACGAAGGATATACCTGGGGCCAAATGGCTCCGACAAGGCTGAGGAACATGTTCGGGTGCAGTCGAATGGACAAGCTGTTCTTCTGTGGACAGGTCAAATGCGAGAAATTCGAGCGTTTCGGCATGGGTGTTGAAGTGGATGAAGAGAGCGTCAAGCAGGCTTTGATCAAGGAAGAAGGAATGGAGGCAGGCTGGGTCACTGACCACCTGGGCGTGAAAGCTGAATTCAGCGTCGATAAGGCGTCGAGCTCAAAGATCTGAGGCTGCCTAAAAGCATGATTCAGGCTGCGACAAGTCCTGACCCTAAATTGGATTTCTCAATCACGCCTTCCATAATGCTTCTCCCACTAATGATGCCGGTGGTGCAAATCACAATCTTCTTCCTCTGTCCCGATTCGGCCAATTTCCGTCCGATGAATCTCAACGCTGCAATCTCCGTGAAGGTGATACCTCCCACAAACATGACAAAGAGAGTCTTCCAGTTGCCCGTGCCCGCCAGTGCAGCTTTTGCTCTGGCCGCCTTCTCGTCCGCTGGCTTCTGAGCTATATTAAACGTTGGACCCCTGGCAGACTTCAAGATGTCCTCAAAGCCCGTCCATCCTGTACTAGAAGGAGTGAGGGGCAGAGGCGACTTGTGCAGGGTTTGGAGATACTGTTTTTGTAAGATGCACTGCACAAGGCGTATGCTTAGGGGAGCGTAGCCGGAGTACACGTAAGCGATATC